ATGGCCAATCTGCCCCAATTTTGACAGACTAAGAAGGAGACAGAGAGAGAACCAAAGAGGAAAGAAATGGGAGAGGTGGAATGGATGCATGCGTGTTCTGCCTTCTGTCACCCAGAAGATGTTTGACCCAATTTTATCTCTGCTTTCTAAATACACTTGCACACTTTCTCCTTTTTTCAGTTCTTGTGGTTATACATGGGCCACAAAATAGGAAACTCTTGTAGAGGTAAAAACCACCATGATTTGTACTTCTTTTAAGAAATCAGTAGTGGTTCAGACTTTGATGACTCAGGTAATGATAACTACAAGGTTTATTCCTGTCCTTCTGCTGCCCACTATTTCCTGTCCCTATATCTAGAATAGTTCTACAAACAGTTAACAAGTCCCTCACAATTAGTCAGTATTTCAGCTGTGTCGTGTTTCATCATCATGAATGAGCCAGCCATCACTGGTAATGTCACCATCACTTAATATCAGCGACCTCAATGACTTCAATGAACTTAAAAGATGCTTTGTTCTAGATCTCTAGTTCTATCGTACTTATATCCAGAGAGAACTAACTTAACAGCCATTTAGAATACAGTAGGAAAACTGCTCATTCCCTACAATGGCATCACAATTAACTACTGCTATCCATCGGCAAATATCTAAATTTGAAACCACAATTTTACATCACCATCCCACTACAGGAAAAATGTACAAAAGTTATGATCTCTCAACACCTTTCAACCAACGTGTTTCAAATTTAGACATGAGTTGGATCTGGACCTAGTTATGATCTGAGCAAATCTACTGGAATTAACATGACAACTCAATCAATTTCACATCCTACTGATTTTAACGGGTAAGTGCAATGAAGACTGGATCCTACTGTTCCAATTTAGTTTCAGTTCCTCAGTCCAATCACAAGAATAAAGGGTAACCACAGTTATTCACAATACAGAACCCAGATCCATTTACTCAATTTTGCTGGTTTGTGGTCTAAGGCAGTGGTTCTTAACCTTTGTTACTCGGATGCTTTTGAACTGCAACTCCCAGAAACCCCAGTCAGGACAGCTGGTGGTGAAGGTTTCTGGGAGTTGCAGTCCAAAACTCCTGAGTAACACAAGGTTAAGAACCAGTGGTCTAAGGTACCTTTTAGTGCCACTGTAACTCATTAAACCTATCTGGCCATCCAATGAATGAGAATAAAACTGACCTGGTAGCACAGTGCAAATTACATGGGGGGGGGGGGCGAGTAGTCTTAATTTGTACTTTGAAAATTAATTTTCATTGTTGACTTAAAATTAAACCTGTTACAGTTTAAGAAACCTGCTCATAGGCCTTTTAAACCAAAAAACACACACAACTCTGAATTTTGGCAACTTCAGCTACTTGCTTCTGACATATGGTAGAATTAATTGGGTGTACACACAAATTTCCAATAGAAGGACAGCTACAAAAGCAAACAGAAGACTCTTTCGCTTAGCCTTTCCCAGCATGGACCTTCCAGAGGCTTTGGACTTCAGCTCTCATCAGCCCTGAACAACGGTAAAAAATGCTGGAGGTGAAGTCTGAAATATCCAAACGACACCAAGCAAGGTTTATAACACATCTCACCTCCTTCCTAGAATTTCAGAGACAGATCTGAAACAAGCAACATCTGTGATACTGAATTGTTTAAAAAAAAATTCTGTCCCTAGCCACGTAACTGGTGGTCTCCTTTCTTAAACCCACTTGAAGATACAAGATGAGAACTGCAACAGGGGGCCATCTCAGCTGGGTCTACCACTTCTCAAGGGCGTAGCGTCTGTAACACAATGAACTGGAAAATGAAAAATCACTACTTAGAACCAATGCAAAGGCAAGAACTAAGTAGTATGGCAAGTTCTGCCACTATTACCTCTCCTAGTTCAGCCCCCTCTTCTCTTTAAAGCAGAGCTGTCAAGACACATTTGTTCTGCCTTGCATCACACTGTCCTATCTCAAATATTCAACTGTGCTAGCTAAGCACAGAAGTCAGTTCCTAGTTCTTTCCAGATTCTAAAGTAGCCTGTTGACACATGCATGCTGTGGGAGACCAGTTGTGCAGCAACAAGGCAAAGGCATACTGAGCTTTATTTCAGGATATTAAAAATAATAAACTGAGAGCCCTTTCATCTGTGAAAGGCCTGTCATGTTTTTATGCTGCTCTTTCTCCAAGAAGGTCAAGGTTGCACGTATAGGTTCGATTCCCTTTTATTTCACAACAAACCATAAGATAGTTTTTTAGAGCTAAGCACAGGATTTCTTGAGGATGCATCTGTCTAAGGAACAACACTTTGGCTAAAGGATAATACTATAATTTTTATCACAGGCACAAAGCCTCTTACCTAAATGGGGATCTGAAGCAAGACTTTTCAAGTCTAACAACTTCTCTATCACAATTTATTATGAAGGCCTCTGAAAACCAGAGCTGCAATTGCAACAAGTAAAAAGTCCTCTAATTCCAACTTACTGCTGGCCTCTAAGTGGTCATGGTTCTCTCTCACATGGAGATACAGGGAAACTCCCCTTAATGTGCATTCAGCCTTGCCCCGCTCCAAAGTGCAAGCAATAATCTCCTATTCTGGTACCCAAAAGCTGAACTCTGCTTCTTCAAAAAGCAGCCAATACATTTTTATAGTATAATATCTCCCAAGGAGATACCACTCAGTTCAGAAACAGTTTCGGGACAAAGCCCATGAGCTGCTCTGTTACCAATAATGTTCTGCATTTATCCAGGTTGGAGGTGGCATCCCAAGTTGACACCTCCACCCTCTCTTTCCAAAATTATTTCTTCACTGACAACAGAAGCAGGAGAGCTGGTCTGTTTAGAACTAAATCTCCTTTGCCACAAAAATGCCTGCAGTCCTCGTTCCAAGTGCTTCTCCTTTCCAAAGCTTATACGTACATTCCGGCCTAAAAGCACCACGGTCTCACCATTGTTCACCTTTCCAGGAAATGCAAAGCTCAAGTGGCATAATTATATAATAACTTTTAAATTATTGGCAACGCTAATAATTTTAAACAGCCTGACCCCCTAAAACGAAGATATTTCACATGTAGGTCTCAAAGGAGAGGGGGAGGGGAGTCGAGTAATGCCCAGAATGTCAGTCTTATCCTTTCTTTATGTTGGTGAAGATGGTTTCCTTTACATACACTTGTCTATGCTGGCAGAAGCACAGGATCTGTAGCATGAGAAAAAATGATTGTGCTGAGGGTGACTGGTAAACCCCCACACCACACACTGTGTTGTTCTAACACTCCGAAGTCGAAAGCCCCTCCCCTGCTCCCTTTTGAAGTGTCTTTGTGTTCTGCCTCCACAGAGAGCAAGCTCTTTCCTATGGGGCTTGATGGCCCACAAAGGTTACTAATATAATTCCAAATAATTATTTACCTCAGATGACCTGAACGGGAACAGCAAGAAAGACAAAATGGCACAGAAGAGACAGGACAGGAATTCCTCCAACAGCTACATTTTGAAATCTCTTCTCTTTTTTTAATTTGGTTCATTCAGCACAGTGTCTTTCAGGTACATTAGAAATTACTGGCATTTTTGTCTGCAAACCACAATCTCTTCTCTTTTTTAAATTCGGTTCATTCAGCACAGTATCTTTCAGGTACTGTACATTAGAAATTACTGGCATTTTTGTTGCAAACCACCTTTTCCACAACATCCAGAATTTACTAAAAACAGTCCCAATGGACACCTGCTTATAATAATAATAATAATTTTAAAAAGAGCTTTCTTCAGCAGCAACCACCCCTGAATAATATTTATTAAAGTTAGTAAAATTAAGTATCTCTGTTAAAAGATTTGCAGCCCTAAATTCAACGAGGGGGGGTGCAGAAACGGACCAAATGTGAACAAACGCCTTTAAGGGCTTTCCAATTTTAAGAGTGCAGCCAGCCAGGAATACAGATGTCCTTAATACCTCCAACTAGAGGAGATAAAATGGGATTCAAGGCTACCACCAAAAAATGACCCCAGCATCAGCTGGCTATGAGAGCATTCCTGTTTTTAAAGGAAATCCCCCTCTATGAAGGCTAGGGAACAAGATAATGGCAGGTGGGGGTGGGGGTGCTGCAAGAGACCCGAATCCAGCAGACAAGCTCACAAGAGTTCAATGTCTTAACGCATCTCGACGCTTCGATCGAAAAGAAAACATTACTTTTAACTCCGAAAGGCAAGAAAACAACCCCAAAGCAGATACTGTAGTAGACTCCAAACAGCCCCCCCCCCCCCCTCCGTTACCTCCCAGTCGCCTGATGGCAGGGGGCAACTCCAAAGCGAGCCTGGGCTGCCCTTCCCCTTCGGTTGGGGTTGCGGGAGAATCAGGATTTTTACAGTATTCCAGCTAAAGAGCAAAGTTCTGGCGGACCCACTGCGGAGCCGACTCCGAAGTAAGAGCTCGGGAACACCCAAACGCACCTGGGCCCCCCCCCCTCCGTTACCTCCCAGTCGCCTGATGGCAGGGGGCAACTCCAAAGCGAGCCTGGGCTGCCCTTCCCCTTCGGTTGGGGTTGCGGGAGAATCAGGATTTTTACAGTATTCCAGCTAAAGAGCAAAGTTCTGGCGGACCCACTGCGGAGCCGACTCCGAAGTAAGAGCTCGGGAACACCCAAACGCACCTGGGAGAAGCAAAATGGGATCCACCCAGCACCGTGCCCTTTGAAGCGTGGCTTGACAAGGGAGAGCGGCGGCACCGCCAGAGACTCGCTCCCTCTCTTGCACCCCCCCCCCCCCCCCCCCCCCCCC